TAGGGTTAGGGTTAGTCCCCGTGTTGGGTGTCCCTGTGCTGTCCCACTGCTCTCTGTCAGTCTGGTCAGTGACCAGAGGTGATATCCCCGTGCTCCCTGCAGCTCGGGGGCTGTGGGGCTGTGGGACATGACCCCCCACAGCTGGCAGCGCCCTTTGCAGGCCCAGGTGTCCCCGCTGTTCGAGGTGCGCATGGAGCTGTCCGAGGGCAGGGTGCAGTACCAGCCCTCGCTGGACGCCGGCGCTGGTGACAGTTTCCTGGTGCTGGTGGAGGGGCTGCTCGGGGACACGGAGGCGGTGGCAGCGTCCATGCCACGGCTGCTGGAGGGGGCTGTGAGTTACAAGGTGAGTTCTTCACAGGCACAGTTCACAGCCAGCAGGAGGTGGGTGAGGTTGGTGAGGGTGGATGAGGGTGGTCATGTCCCCAGCTTGTCCCCAAGCTCTGCTGTCCCTTCAGACTGCCCTGGAGGAGCAGGAAGAGCTGCTGAGGATGCAGGAGAAGCTGATGTCGCTGGTGGTCAGCACCATGGCAGAAGGTGAAGAATTCAGTGCCAGCTTTGAGGAGCTCTCCTACCTGTGGCAGGAGAGCCCCGAGGAGTTCCTGCAGAGCTTCCTCACCATGGACAGAGCCCCTGTCCCTGAGGAGGGGGAGCCCCAGCCGGGCACAGAGCCACAGCCAGGCACAGAGCCACAGCCAGAGCCAGAGAAGCCCTTGGCACCCGGACTACCACCCCTCCAGTTCTTTCAACAGGAGGTGTGGGATGGGTGCCTGGAGATGTGCTGAGTGCTTGGGGTGCCCTGGAGGACACTGGGTGCCCGGTGAGGTGCCAGCCACAGACTATGGCCCATTCCTGTCCCCAGATCGACGCGCTCGAGGCACTGCATGAAGATGTGCTGGGCTGTGAGGAAACCAGGGTGTTTGGGGGGTGGCTGCAGAGCGACTGCCGCCCCTTCAAGAAGGCGCTGCTGGATGCCATCAAGGGCCATAGCCTGGTGCTCCGGCAGTTCCTCGCCCACCACGTCACCAGCAGGTAAAGCCTGCCCAGCCCTGGCACCGGCTCCCAGTGACTGAAGCTGTGGCACAGGCACCACTGTGTGCCAGGGCAGGGCTGACCCATGGGAGACAGCCCTGGAAGTGCAGGTTCCAGGTTCCAGACACCTTCAGGGCTGAGTTTCTGGGGGGGCATGCCCTTGCAGAGTGAGCCCCAGGGACACCTGATGAGCACCACTGTCCTCTCAGTCTCCAGGAGCTGCAGGATTTCATCCAACAGTCCACTGCTGGCTTGAGCAAACCTCTGGAGGAGGGAGACTATGAAGGACTGGTGGCAGTGATGGGACACCTGGCGAGGGTCAGGGAGAGGCAGGAGGCGACTGACGTCATGTTTGAGCCCTTGAAGGAGACAGTTGCTCTGCTCAAGACTTACGGGGACAAGATGCCGGAGGAGATCCACCTGCAGCTCCAGGTGGGCTGCTTGGGGTGTGGGGGGCTGGGCAAGGGCTGGCTGGGGCCAGCCTGGTGACCCCACACGGTGCCCACTGCAGAAGCTGCCCGAGCACTGGGACAACAACAAGAAGCTGTGCCTGCGGGTGGCGGAGAGCGCGGCGCCCCTGCAAGCCGCCGAGGCCGCCGTGCTCCGCGACAAGTGCCAGGACTTCGAGGTGCCTGCCCGGGGCCCTGGGTGGGACACAGCTCCGAGGCAGCTTTGGGGACACTCTGCTGCTCTTCCCCACTGCCAGGTCCTGGCTGTCCCCATGAGCCCCCCTGTCCTCCCACACAGGTCCAGCAGCTCGCCTTCCGGGAGAGTTTCCTGAGAAAAGCCCCTTTCTCGTACACAGACCCACAGCCCTACAAGTCACTGAACAGGGTAAGGAAGGGGAGGACACCAGGGCCGCTGCTGTCCCCACTGGCACTGCCAGGTGTGGCTCCAGCTCCCAGGCTGACAGGGAGGGTCTGGCCCTGCAGGAGGGATGGAGCCACTGCTGGGATAGAGACACGTCCCTGGCACACAGTCCCTGGCTGACACCTTCTCCTTTCCTCCATCCAGCAACACAGAAACATCCTGGCCTTGGAGCAGGAAATGGCAGCCCTGGCCGCCTCAGCTGCGCTGTTTGAGGTGTCAGTCCCAGAGTACAAACAGCTGAAGTTGTGCCGCAAGGAGCTGCGCCTGCTGAAGGAGCTCTGGGACATGGTGACCCTGGTATGGGCTGGGCTCTGGGACCAGGCTGCTTTTGGCTGGCATGGGCACCTGTTGCCAGCCGGCCATTGCCAGCCCAAGGTGCAGAGCTGTTGCAGCCTCTGAGAGAGCTCATTGCCATCAGAGGGAGGATGAGACACGGGGCAGGTTGTCACACTTAGAGCAGGTCTGCATGGTGTGTGCAGGTGTGGGGGGCCCGCTGGGCACACAGGGCATGCAGGCACTGAGTGTGCTGCTCCTCTTCCTGGGCAGGAATGCTTCTGCTAATCTGCTAATTGTGAAAATGTATCCTGGGGCCAGGTGAACTTGAACATCGCCACCTGGAAGACAACCAGGTGGGCGGACCTGAACGTTGAGGACATGGATATCGAGTGCAAGAAATTCGCTAAGGACATCCGGGGTTTGGACAAGGAGGTGAAGAGCTGGGACGCGTTCACGGGGCTGGACAGCAGCATGAAGAACATGATGACGTCCCTGCGCGCCGTGAGCGAGCTGCAGAACCCGGCCATCAGGGACCGGCACTGGCAGGAGCTCGTGCACACAACCAAGGTGCTCCCACCTCCTCCTGCCCACCCCTGGCCCAGGGGGCTCCCAAGAGCCACACCCAGAGAGGGAAGGGTGCCATTAGGTTTAATTCTGGCCACGTGCAAATATTTGTGTAGGGTCTCTGAATGTGGGTGTGAATGAGCTGGTTCGGGTGAGCTGCCTCTCTGTGGAGGGGAGTCCAACCAGGCTGGTTCTGCTCCAGGTGGAATTCACCATGTCTGAGAACACCACCCTGGCCGATCTGCTGCAGCTGAACCTGCACAAGTTTGAGGAGGAGGTTCGGGGCATTGTGGACAAAGCATCAAAGGAGGCTGGGATGGAGAAGGTGAGTGGGGCTCAGCCCCTCCCTGCTTTGCTGAGACCCCTGTGCCAGTGTGACTCTGTGACTGTCATGGGCTTGTCTTCCTGGGGCTGGAGTCCACAGGGAGCACACGGAGCTTGTGGAGCCCTCTGCCCTCCTGGGCCCAGTGCCAGCTGGCATCCAGCTCATCCCCACGCCCCACCTGCAGGTGCTGAATGCCCTGGACACTACTTGGGCATCAATGGAGTTTGAGTACGAGCCCCACGGCAGGACCCAGCTCCCACTGCTGAAGATGGATGAGTTGCTCATTGAGACACTGGAGGACAACCAAATGCAGCTGCAGAATGTGTTGGCCTCCAAGTACCGAGCCTTCTTCCTTCAGAGGGCACAGGACTGGCAGCATAAGCTGTCAACCACTGACACTGTTATCAACACCTGGTTTGAGGTACAGCGGAAGTGGAGTCACCTGGAAACAATCTTCATAGCGTCTGAGGACACACGCAGTCAACTGCCAGAGGAGTCCAAGAAATTTGATACCATTGACGAGGATTTCCGAGTGCGAAGCCCATTCCCCCTCTCCTTTTCCCTGCAGCTCTCAGCCAGTTCAGGCTGACTGAGATGTTTTTCCTCTTCAGAAACTGATGGCTGATGCAGTGCAAACCCCCAACGTGATTGAATGCACCAACAAGCCCGGGCTGCACACCCGGCTGGAAGCACTGCAGGAAAGGTGAGGATGGAGTCACATTGGTGAAGAGTTTGGGGGCCAAAGGAAGGGGTTGGTTTCTCCAAGAAAAGAGTAAAACCAATATATGGGGGTTAATGGCAGGTTCTTCTGTTTTCTCCAGGCTGGCAGTCTGTGAGAAGGCCTTGGCTGAATACCTTGAGACCAAACGACTGGCTTTTCCCCGGTTCTATTTTGTTTCCTCTGCAGACCTACTGGATATTTTATCAAAGGGGACTGAGCCTCTTGAGGTATAGGCTGTGTGTGGGCCTGGGGATGAGTCCTGTGCCATTTCCATTGTTTGAGCAGTTTTAGAACATTTTTCACTCTCATGGGCAGAACACCATCCCTGTTCCCCCTTCCTGGGGGTGCAGAGCCCAGGGAGCACCCAGGGGTAGATCCAGTTGCTGATCCCACACGTGGCAGGGGTCCTGACAGTGGCTGTGCCTCTGCTCTCAGGTGTCCCGGCACTTGACGAAGCTGTTTGACAGTCTGGCCAAGCTGGAGTTCGTGCAGGGCTCAGACAAGAAGCCTCTGAAGGTGGCCCACGGGATGTTCAGCCGGGACGGGGAGTACGTGGCCTTCGATGCAGACTGTGACCTGTCCGGCCAGGTCAGCTGAGCTTCGGGAGACTCTGCAGGCTGGGGATGGGGATGGGGTTGAGCCTTTTGCTGGTTGTGCCCCAGCAGCCTGGCAGGAGTATAAAATACAATTACAGAGATTTTTTAGGCAAAAACCCCAGAAATGGCACCTGCACTGCAGGTGCAGAGCAGCACAGTCACGGAACCTGCTCAGCCTCTCGAGGGCTGCAGGGTGATTCCCCCGTGGGATGTGCCCTGCAGGAGCAGCAGCAGCCCCTCTGCTGCGGTGTGCTGCAGTGTGCAGGGAGGGGTTTGTGCAGCCTGAGGGGTGGGATGCCACGCTCAGCTCTGCTGGCTGTGCCCCTGCAGGTGGAGGTTTGGCTGAACCGGCTGCTGGGGCGTATGCGCTCCACCCTGCGAAACCTCATCCCCCAGGCCCTGGGCACCTACGAGGACAAGCCACGGGAGCAGTGGGTGTTTGACTACCCAGCCCAGGTGGGTGCTGCTGCCAGGGCCAGGCTGAGCCGGCTCTGAGAGGCACAGGAGCCCCGGGAGGCACAGGCACCCGCCCTGAGCCATAGCAGGATCCTCCTTTATGGCCGTGCTCTCCCCATGGTTGGCTGCAGGTCGCTCTCACGTGCACCCAGATCGCCTGGACCTCAGAGGTTGGTGTTGCCTTTGCGAGTCTGGAGAAAGGTTACGAGAATGCCCTGAAGGATTATAACAAAAAGCAGGTTGGCACCATCCACACCTGAGCCTCTCTGCCAGGCCAGGGGTCATCGAGAGGTGGGCAAATGAGGGCATCACCTCCCTGCCCACGATTCCTGTCCTTCCCCAGATCGCTCGGCTGAACGCCCTGATTTCACTGCTCCTTGGGAACCTGAGCGCTGGGGACAGAATGAAGATCATGACAATCTGTACCATTGATGTCCATGCAAGGGATGTGGTGGCCAAAATGATCCAAACAAAGGTATTTGGTACCAGAGGGAATTTTTTGCAGCAGCATCTCTCAGAAGTTTGGAGCACAGCTTTTCCTGTCATTCCATTACTCTCAGGCTGGGTGGTGTGGCGTGGGCTGGGCCCTGAGGAGGGATGGTCCTCACCCACCCCAGCACGGCCCTGGGACCCTTTGCACACTGTCCTTGTGCTGGGAGGTGGTGAACGGCCCCAAGGCAGGGAGTGTCACTGTCCCAGGGGCCGGGCTGGGCAGTGCCAGTGCCCACCTGCCCTCCACAGCCACCTCTCTGCAGGTGGAGAACTCGCAGGCGTTTGCCTGGCAGTCTCAGCTGCGGCACCGCTGGGACGAGGGGGACAAGCACTGCTACGCCAACATCTGCGACGCCCAGCTCCTGTACGCCTACGAGTACCTGGGGAACACCCCCCGGCTGGTCATCACCCCCCTGACAGACAGGTGGGGCTCCCCACACCTCCCTCTGCCCCCGGCGCTGCGGCTCTGCCTCGCCACAGCTCAGCCCCGTGTCCTCGCTGGGCAGGTGCTACATCACCCTGACACAATCCCTCCACCTCTACATGGGGGGAGCCCCCGCTGGCCCCGCGGGCACCGGGAAAACTGAGACCACCAAGGACCTGGGCCGGGCTGTGGGCATGATGGTCTACGTGTTCAACTGCTCCGAGCAGATGGACTACAAGGTAGGGCATGGGGCAGCAGGAGCTGAGAGCCCTGGGGTGTCCAAGACACGGGGACCCTGGGTTGGGGTCTATGGAGCCCGGGGGCAGGGGGGCTTTATCACTGTGGGGAATTTCCACAGCACAGTCCATAAGGCATGGGCAGCTCTCAGCACTCGAGTTTTGTCACCAAACCCCCACTGCAGCTGCTGTGAGGGGTCACAGTGCCCGAGCCCTGTCCCACTGCTCTGTTCTCTGCAGTCCTGTGGGAACATCTACAAAGGACTTGCCCAGACAGGCGCCTGGGGCTGCTTCGACGAGTTCAATCGCATTTTGGTGGAGGTCCTGTCGGTCATTGCTGTGCAGGTGCGTGCTGTCCCCACAGACCAGTGGCACTGGGTGCCAAAGAGCCTTCCCAGCTCGTGTCCTGGGTGCTGCCCCAGTTAAACCTGGCTCACAGGGCAGTTTGCCACTGTTCTCTCCACTATTTTGGATCCCTGTTTGGACACAGGGTGGGGGCTGGAAGCACAGCAGTGCAGGGGATTTGGGCACAGTTAAACCTCACAGCCCAGCTGTGTTCCATCCTGGTGACCTGTCATCCCCAGCTCTGCCACCACCTGGGACAGGGAGTTGGGGTGATGAGGAAGGAGCAGGTTTAAGGCCAGCTCTTCTGCTGCTGTGGCTTCAGCTAGATCTCAATATTACTCCTGGCACAGCCAAGCCCTCAAGCTCTCCCTGGGGAGCAGTCAGGGCCAGGCAGAGCACTGGGCAGAGAGCTGGGAACTGCCAGCACCAACAGCTCTGCTCACCTGGCAGGTCAAATGTATTCAGGATGCAATCCGTGCCAAGAAGAAAACATTCAACTTCCTTGGGGAGACCATCTCCCTGGTGCCATCGGTTGGGCTGTTCATCACCATGAACCCTGGCTACGCCGGGCGCACGGAGCTGCCCGAGAATCTGAAAGCTCTGTTCAGGTGGGTCGGTGTCACTGCAGCACTCTGTGCCACACCCACAGTGTGACCTCAGCCCAGGGGGTTTGTGTGCACTGCTGGCCCTGGTGAGGCAGCCCTGGCAGCACAGGACAGTCCTGTCACTGCCCAGAGGCTGCTCAGCGAGGGGAGAGGATGCTCGAGTGAGCTGCCGCCCTCAACCAAAAATCCAGTTGAGAGGAGGACAAAAAGGCGATGAAGCGCTGGAAGGGGAGGCACAGAGATGCTGCGGGACCCCTGTCCTTGGTGAAACTCAGCCTGTGACTGCACAAGGGCCCCAGTCCTGTGGGACACGAGCCCCACTTGGAGGAGCCTGGGCAGGAGACCCCATCCAGTGGAACTGCAGCAAGTGACTGCTGGCTACACTGGAAACTTGGGGCAAACCTCGGGGGCCGTGGGAGGGTGAGGACGTGGTGAGCAGCCCTGACAGCTGCAGCTGCTCCTCTCTAGACCCTGCGCTATGGTGGTCCCCGATTTTGAACTGATCTGCGAAATCATGCTCGTGGCAGAGGGATTCCTTGATGCCAGGCTCCTGGCAAGGAAGTTCATCACTCTCTACACGCTCTGCAAAGAGCTGCTGTCGAAACAGGTAATTAACAATATTACATAGTGCTGGCTGTGAAAGAGTCCAATTGATCATCAAACCTGACACACTGTAGTGGGACTGCTGGTGGTGACACAGAGAGTGACAGCTCTGCACAGCTCAGGTCTAGGGCCGGGC